TAATTTTCATAGTCAAAAAAGAAATATTGCTGCTGAATATTAAATTGTTACCAATGCATTTTAAAGGCAGAGACCTGAATTACGAGAATGAGGTTAACCAATAACTGCCAAAGCTACTGTGCTACTGCTAATGTTTACAGAAATTGCTGCCATATGAGAACTCTAAATCTTATAAATAGCTAATTGGTGCAGCTTTTCCAAGTTATTCCCCAACTGGGCACTGACATCTTGTCTATTGTACACCATAGAGAAGAGGAAGCCAGGCTGCCATTTAAAACCACAGTATCAAAGACGTCACAGCTCTTCCTGTGGAAGTCATGTGCCACTTATTTCTATATTATAGCGGTCAGGGGGTGAGCTAATGATGATGATGATTAGGGATTATCTCAAGACTTCCAACAAAAAATGTAAATTTGGTGATCATTAACGGCACATTTTAGCCTGCATAGACTTCATGTTTTGGGGATATAGGGATTAGTTTTTGTTTCTTTTAGTTATTTTACCATACTTTATTTATACAATAACTTTAGTGCAGCACACAGCAACAATTAACAACAGTTAAATACAAAATAGCTTGTAATACAATTAATATCTTGAATTGATCTTTTAATCAGCCATGGACTTCTTATATATCATGGAATTCCAGTGGTTCTGTCCCCAAGCTGACATTTTGTTTATCTACCCTCATTATCACCGGTGTCAAAAAAAACAAGGTGGCAGACAAGAAACACAAATAGGTATTTGGCATGCAATTCATCTTATATCTCAATACAACTTCTTATATCTTACTGAGCTTCCATTATAGTTTCTGTTCCTTAGGGACAATATTTAATTTGGTATTCTCATCTCACATCCATAATCTCTCGTCTACACTTCAAAAATCACTACATTACCCATCCTTTCTTTGCACAAGATAATTCAAATTCTAGTGCATGTCTTCATTATATTCTGACTTGACTCACCAATGAACAGACTGGTACCACTCCAGAATGTCCAGAACTTTTTCTACCTTTTCCTCTTACTCCTCAATCATTGCTCCTTTTGTGTCCGCCATGTCCCTGTCTGCCAACTACAGACATCATGTATTTCAAAATTCTTACTCTAACAGCTCAGTTCTCCAACTTGCCTCCTTCCTGTCATTTTCTTAGTGTCCCTTCCAAGGAAAAATGTTCACCGATTCCTCTCTTACTCTTGTCAACATTTCTCATTTATCATTCAAGACTTCTTACGCCTCTCTTCCTTCCACAGCTAATGGTGCAACCTCTGAAACTTCAAAAGTACCTTTAACACATACTTCTTAAAAAAATCACATAACTTGATCTAATACCGTGTTTCCCCGAAAATAAGACAGTGTCTTATATTTTATTTGGCTCAAAAAACACACTAGGTCTTATTTTTGGGGTAGGTCTTATTTTTTTTTTTATGTACAACAATCAACTCTTATTCATGTAGAGAAGTCTACATGTATTCATGTACAAAAATATGTTGATCAGGGCAATCAGGAGTGCCGTACCTTTCCAAGAGCAATTTGCTAACCAATTGCTGGCCAGAATTAGTGAAGCGCACTTTCACTATCGATTCCTCACAGGCGGAGTGCATTTGGTATCACTCCGCCTGTGACAGGAGCCGGCACTATAGAGGAAGCATCGGCTTATGCGGCTCTGCTCCCTTCGGTGCCGCCTCGCTCCCTCTAGCACTGGCTTCGTTGGCACCACTGATTCTCTCCTGCCTCTCCCGCGGCTCTTCAAGTTCCCCCTTATGCCACCACCGGCCCTGGGAATGGTCACAACTAGGTCTTATTTTCGGGGTAGGTCTTATATTTTAGCAATTCATAAAAATAGTACTAGGTCTTATTTTCGGGGTAGGTCTTATTTTCGGGGAAACAGGGTACATTACCTGTGGTTCTGTTTTCTCCACTATCTGTCAAAGAACATCCAATGCTCATTTTCTAACTTTTTGTTAAAAAAAGCCAGCACACTAAATTAGGAATAAAAGCAACAGTTAACTGAAGTCCCATATCGGTACTAGAAACTACCATTGTTTTAAGGTTATGTGAACCCCCATTTATCAAGGTGACAAGCGGAGACTTTGCAGTCATAAACAGACTGGAGTTTGAATCCAAATGTTCCTTTGATTTTCTAATAGTTAATAGGGTCAAAACGATGAATGTTTTCGACTGTGAGGAAAAAAATTGAAGGAGCAGGATGGAGAATTTTCCTAGAATTAATGAAATTTTCACAGTGATTGTGGTTTTCCTTCAAGAAGCTCCAAAACTGAATGTTACAATTTAACAAAGTTTCAAACAACTTTCAAGCCTCTGATGGCAATATAAACGTACTGCCTTTTTTTGCATGAATGTTCGTTCGATAATATACCAGTGTAAGGCCAACTTTACAAAAAAGGTTTTTGGCTGCTCATGCACTTTAAGAGGATAACATATATATATGTATATATATATATACATACATACTGTATATACTGTTAAAAATAATTACTTTGTAGTGGCAAACTTATGAAGTAACACACACACTTGCATAGAAAATACACACTTTTTTATTCCTTTAATTACAAATGTAAAAAATGGCAATAGACAATGTATAGTATAAACATCCCACAATCTGACAGAAACTGAATAAAGATCAGTTGGTTTAACTAGACCAATAACAGGATTTTTCAAGATTATCTCATGCTTTTTTGCAAAAATGCTTCTGCAGGAAAGAAGCAGTCCGATTTTCTGGTTAAACCAAAACTGCCCACTGTTTATAATATGTGCATACAAAGAAGAAGGTGGTGAACACCAGATTTGTGGCTTGTTCAGTGTTAAATAATAGTTTACTGGGTGCTCCATTATATCTGAAGGACTGGAATTTAGTCTGCCAAGCAATGTAAACAACAGTGGAACAGTGGGACACATGTCCTGCTAATGCTTACAAACATACAAAAGATACCCCCTGTTTACCAAAAGGGGTTGCTTAAGGGTTAAATGTTTAATTAAAAAAAAAAAAATAGTTAAGAGCTCTCACATATAAACCCCCCTCTACTTACAAACGGTACCCCCTCCATATAACTACACGGGCGTGGAAAATTGTACACAGAACACTTAAAGGTTAGTCTGAATTATTTTTTATTAAACAACATAAAAATTGAGCCTATTGTAACTCATCAGAAGGGTAATTTTCATAAACCCCAACAGTCACCTGTCATACATATGAACTGTTTGTTGTGCAAACATTCGGGTCCCATTACTTGTACTCCAGGATGTTTTACTGCTGATATTACTATAGGTGCATGTTAATAGGAACCTATCATTATGGACATATGAAAGATCCCACTGCTGAATTGTTTTAGAGGTCCAATCACTCTGAGCTTTCCATCACTACCCCTTGAGTCACTGACCCAGAACAAAAAAACTACCAGGGTTATTCACAAAAGGGTGAAGAGTTTGGAGACGGCAAAAGAAGTGAACAATCTAGGACAACATAGCTGATTTGGAAAAATTCTCCAATTCACCTTACTTTCCAGCTCAGCTATGTTGTCCTAGATTGTTCACTTCTCCTGCCTTCTCCAAACCCTTCACCCTTTTGTGAATAACCCTGTAATAGATTAAATGTATTCACAGGCTTTATATAAGTTCTTGGTCAGTTATCCACTAAAAGTAAGTGTTAAGATAACAACCCCAGAGCTTGCACTTTAAGTCAGCAATAGCAATTCTCATATTTCTATCTTTACTAATTCCATTCAAATGATGTATATCAGTAAATTTGTCTGTTGAAAGTTGCTAATATATTTGTACTTGGCATCTTAGCCAGATGTTGTTTTCTTTAAAGTGAACCTGTCTGGTATTTTAAACTTAAATAGTATGTATTTAATAATACTTTACTATATGCAATCTATCATGCACAATACATGCACATTTCCCCATGTTTTATCTCTTTAAAGACCCTGTAAATATGGAAAAATGCCAGTTGATCTGTCAGAAATGCACGCAGCTACCAGTTTCCACTTGTGAAATTACACCACGTGCTTTTTTCTACACTACAATTGTAAGACTCGGTTCAGCTCTGCCCAGTTGTATGTTGTAAATTACGGAATTCTTACCATTCTCATAGGGGTGTATTTATAGAAACTTTGCAGAGCCATTCTTCCTGCAAAACTGTACATTCACTGTGAAGCATGTATATTTGCACTGTGTGAATGGAGGCAAAAACAAATGTTATTAGTATATTTTCTTCCCTGTTCAAATATAATATCAGGAAAATACTGCCTCATGGCCACTAGATGGCGATGAAGAGAATAGAAAATAAGTTCTTCTTTCCTGTGCTCCTCAGCACCATCTAGTGGCCATACAAAACATACTGGAAAGAAAGGATACTAATTTATTTAATTTGGCTTCCATTTGCACAAAACTAATGTACATGTAGCTTCACAGGATGAATGGCTCTGTAATTTTTTTAATAAATACATCCCAATATCTCCACAGCTTAGAGAATAATCGTAGTACGTAGTAATGTACATGTAGCTTCACAGGATGAATGGCTCTATACATTTTTTTATAAATAAATCCCAATATCTACACAGCTTAGGGAATAATCGTTCTGTGGTCAAGTTAAGAACTGGGAAGACTACTTGAGGTAACACAGAAAGTGTGCACAGGACACAGGACAGCTCTGAATTTCTTACACAATCAATAGTATTTTTGCACATATCAAACAGATGTAACGAAATGCATTCATTGATATATATAACAAACAAAACGGGGAGGGGGGGAAGTTAATTGTTAGGGTTTACATAACCTTTAAAAGTGAATCTTAGAGATATACAGCAAAGGGTTTTATGGCTAATAATGGGAACTCGTGCTACTCTGGTAGGAGTTTTTCGTTTTAAAGGTCTAACACAGTTAACAGGTTCACTTTAAATAAACAAAACTCATTGCAATTTCTACTTTGTGAATCATTCTAGGACATAAAAATAATGTTCCTTTATTAATTTGGCACAAATGTAACAGAGACAATTCATTGTAGTTTAGGTTAAACATTCAAATCTGCTTAAAAAAGTGTGGTCACTTATTCTTCAACATTCAATACATTCCATCTGGTTTGATGATGTCCTTTTCGTATCTAGTAAAATACAAAAGAACACCCATTAAATGATAGTATGTTACAATGTGTCGCTTGCTTCAGGCTCTATATTCAAATAAAAGCATAATGTATTTCATTAATAAAGACCTTACTCACTGACCCTGACTCATCAAGCTGCTATAGCAGGTGTGCTAAACAGCACTTAAAGTGTATTTCCACTTTTGCAGCCAAATTGGGATAATGCCTGTTTTATATTTATTACATGTTCCCATTACATGTTCCCAGAAGGGTTTTTAAAAACATCACATCCCTGTCTGCTTTAAACCCAGCAATACACTGAGGCAACAACTGGTTCACCCAAAAGACTCAATGCCAAAACACAAGATGAACAACATTGTGTACATTTCAGTGTATCCCGAAATTCCTCTTTTGTTCAGTCTTCCCAGCCAAGTGCTTTTGGAACGCTCCACCCAACCAGACAATGATCCATTTCACATTTGTGATATAACCAAGTATGCCTAATCAGTATTTAAGATGTATGAATTAGTAAGTGTATTAGTAGCTTATGATTTTTTTTCTATTTATTTGATGTTTAAATAACTTATGTCTTTTTGTTTACAGCCACAGTCCTCATCAGCTAAGCAACTTTTTTTTATTCGCTACATTTACATTTCTTGCTGGAAGTTGAAACGTATGATGGCTTCTTATATCCTGGCATCTTATATCTACCAGGGATCCCAACAGTAAGACATTCATACAGTTTCCAGTTCTTCTCTGCAACCAGTTCAGTGACCAGCTAGTGCTTTAGGGAATGGGGTTGAGGGGTTGAGGGGTGGAGTGTTGTCATTGTATGTGCAGGGAAACTGCTGAGTTGGGGATGGGGTAATGATTTCTCCAGGTGCAATATTGCACAAAGCACGGGATGCAGGCAAAATATTTGCAGGGGGGACTGTGGTTCTAAGCTGTGGCTGAAGGGGGGAAAATAGTGTTCTGAAGAATACTGGCAAGTCAGGAATTGAAAGTATGGATATTGCAGATGAAGTGTGTTGCTTATCCAAGGATGGGGACGCAGGGAAACCTATAAAGACACTATCATGCTGAGTAGTATAAATGTAGGAAAAAGGAAGATGCAGCTGAAGAAGTGGTAACACCCATGTTTTGTTTGGACTTCCCAACCACTAAGATGGATGAGAACAGTATCAGGTCAGGAAGGTGTCACCACTGCAATCCCTAAAAAATATAAGAAGCAAAAGGGTGATTTAACCTATCCAACATGCAGTATCACTTCTAGGGGCTGACCCCAATTTTTCCTGTTTGGAGGTGTCCACCTTTCTTGCAATTCCATTGAAAACACAATTTACAAAGCTCCAACATCAGCCTAAGGTGCTTAATTTTTAGCCATAGATGTTTTTTTGTCATTTTAACTTTTTATTGGCTCAAGTGAAAATAACTGTTGCTTTTTTTTGCACTAAGTATACTTATTCTGGTGTGTTAGCTTTGTGTGTTATGCCTAAAGACTGTGATAGAGATTGCTTTAAGACGCTTACCAGAGTTAGGAGCTTCTGTTTTTACAGAAAGCAGTTTAACATTCTCCTTAGTTTCAGCTGACCTTTACGGTAAATGGAAAAAAAAACACATAAATGTCAGTTATATTTTAAATCAATATTTTAACAATAACTAAAAACAACTGAGCAATAAAATGTATCCTGTTATATCAATTCCCTGTTTCAGATTATGATTCCCTATAGCGGTAGAGATTACTAAAGATTCACAACCATCTGAGAACTACTTATGCCAAGCATGCAAATATACAGTACATAGCACCTTAGCACAGGTTAATCACTGATAGATAAAACCCAATGAGGGTGATGTGAGCTGATGCTGGACTATTGGATCATTTTGGGTTGACTTTAATTCAAGAGGTTTTTCTCGCTGATCTTTTTATTCTTTTAACGTCTTTGTTTTTATAATATCTTAAAGCAAACCTACATTCAGAAAATATGTAGGCTGCTATTGTCGTCTTTGCCTTCTGAAAGTGCTAGTTTCCTGGCTCCCATGCTAATACAGTGGCTTCAGTACTCGTAGTCATAGGCGTGTGCACGGGGTGTGCACGGTGTGTCTGGGCACACCCTAATCACTCTGAGCACAACACCGAAACCCAGGGCCGTTGGTAGCATCTCTAAACTGACAGGTGGGCATGGCCTGGGTGGATGTGACAGAGGTCTCCTCCAGCAGCTGCTGTCATAGCTCCTCTCCTCTATAGCAGCTATAATTGGTCGTCTTTCAGCCTCTCTCCTGTCTATTACCTGGAGCTTTCCGCCCCCTTTTGTCCCTCCCCCAATCGGGTTGCGAGCAGTGGACAGTAGCCTGCCCGATCGGCTGGCCAGGAAGATGGCAAGGACAGCGCACAGGAGCCGACAGTGAGCCCAATGGCCGAGAGTGACCTGGCCAAGCCCTGTAGGAAAAACAGCATAATGGGGCCCAGGAACTGGCCGAACTCTACTCCCCAGGTGAGTGGAGGGCCCCACCAAGAGGAACATGGGGGACTCTGTATGACAGGGATGTATGGGGAAGGGGGGTACACTGTGTGGCAGGAATGTATTGGGGAGCAGGGGACTGTGTGACAAGAATGTATAGGGAGGGGGGAACACTGTGACAGGAATTTATCAGGAGGGGGGACGCTGTATTGTGAGTGGGGGCGGGGCCGGAGCTATCATAAGGCTGCATACCCCTCATTACTGTGGGGTAATGAGGGCTCCGGGTGGGGGGCTTTGATAAATGCACCCTTTACCTCCGCAATAGTGGCCGGCGTGTTTTTAGTCACTGAGCCGGTGGAGAGATCACGAAGATCCCTCTGTGATTGGCACAGCGATACAGAGTGCAGTAGTACTTGCCACTTAAATTTTTCAGCCACAGTCCTCAGTGCCTGGGAAGTTGCGAGGGAGGCTATGGCTTCCCATCCAATCAAGAAGCTGCTTCAATACTACACCCCTGTTGGAAGTGGTAAGGGACAGTTGAAAAACTGATATATATATATGTGTGTGTGTGTGTGTTTTTGTTCTTTTGTGTGCACACCCTAATGCAATTACTTTCACACAGGTATGCAGATCAGTAGTTCTGGCCTTGCTTTGATATAGCTTACTGCATGCTTGTTCTGGATCAATGACTCAAAGTATTCAGGTCAGATAAAGACAAGTAACTAGCATTTTCAGGAGGTCAGCCATAACAGTCTACATGTTTCTCTAAACACAGATGTAAATTAATGTTGAATTTTGGAAACTTGCAACTGGACCAATGAACACTCATGTCAGATTACCAGTGTTTAGGTGTGTCTACCCAATGTGTGCTGGTGGCATCCAACCCCTCTCCCCCATCTTACTTGCTAATCCATGACCAACACAATTTTGGAGAGCTAAATGCATCTCAGTGCTGGGCTAATTTTGCTTAGCAGGGTTAGAGGGCATGCTTTGAAGCCCTGTGGCCTTACCTGGTTGCTTGACCCTGATATCAGGAGGTTTGCCCTCTTGCCTGCTGTTTTTTGATAATAACAAAATAACAAAATTTGGTTTGCTGGATGTTTGCTGAACAATTAAAAAAAAAACCTCTAAATTTCAAACATAGTACCCAAAACACCATTAAAGTCTAAAGTAGCCAAAATGTGTAATATTTTCCTGGCCTTTTTCAAAAAAGTGTTCAACAGGGAGTGGGTTTTTTTATGTGGCTTAAAGGGCAACATTAAAAAATACACAATTCCTTGGGGGATGCCCTAAAGAAGAAATCCAGGAATTTCTTTTTTCACCCTTGTAGTAGGGCTACTCTGGCTCTGCAAGGGTTAACTGCTTGTTTGTGTGTAGGTTAAAAAAACCAAAACAATAATATACTCACCCAAAGCTCAGAGCCGGCTTCTTCTTAGACCGATCCCTGGAATATCTCTCCCCCTCCTCTGCATCAGTCTAAGGTTCAGTAAATCATCGTGTTTATACACCGTACATGACGTGAGAATGCTGAGAAACATGTGCTGCGGAGGAGGGGACAGGCTGGAGGGAGCGACATGACAGCTGGCTGGCTTGGAGCTTTGGGTGAGTAAATCTTTGTTATTTTGGACCCTAGACACAAACAAGCACACACCCCTGCAGTGTGGGGGTAGCCCTACTGCAAGGGTTAATTTAAACAAAATCCTGGAGTTCTGTTTTAAACCTGCATTTGAAATGGTGCACCTGATGATGGTGTACTTCTGAAAAAGTGACATTTAGAAAAATAATGATAATGATAATAAGGGTCTGGTATGGATTTTAAGGAGGATCTCAAACAAAAAAATGGTGTAGGTTTTACCTCCCGCCCCCCTGAACCGCCCCCCTGAACCATACCAGACCACATCGCTTAATGGTGGCTTCTCCATCCTCCTAATAAGTACTATCCTTGTCGCACTCCTCACCGATATGTCCCTTGTAGTGTGGGGTGCTCGCAGTGATTGCGGATGGCGCCGCGAATGTCAGCAATTGTAGAAATGTCACCAGCACACCAATCCTTTTAAGATAGCAAAAGCTTAATTTATTGAAGTTTTGTGTCATATGACCAAACAAGCACTTTCGGGACCGCACAGGGCTAAAGCCTGATGAAGAGACTCTGTGCGGTCCCGAAAGCGCTTGTTTGGTCATATGACACAAAACTTCAATAAATTAAGCTTTTGCTATCTTAAAAGGATTGGTGTGCTGGTGACATTTCTACAATTTCTCCATCCTCCTGTCACCTAATCCCCCTCTTTCAGCTCCGCTTCCCTCTCTAACGACAACTCCCACAATGTCCCACTTCTGGCATGGAAGGGGCATGTCCAGGTTGAGCTCAAGGTGTTGGAAGTTCAGAGGATCAGCTGTTAGCCATGCACAGGGCACTATGATAACAACTAAGGAAAAGGCCCAAGGAGGCCAGCAGGCACACCCACTCCAGGTGGGGCTTCAACCCTAATTCCAGGATATGACCAGTGAGGGCACTGTGTGTCAAAGGAATGGGGTATACAGAGTGTTGGTAAAGGGGGATGCAGGGGGTACCGACTGTGGGGTAATGGGGCTACAGGGAGGGTAATGGGGCATGCAGGTGATGCAGAATGTGACGTAGTAGGGGAATGCAGGGGGGGAAGAATGTTAGGTAGTGGGGGAGGGAAGGGGTGCCAAATGTGGAGAGAGTAGTTGGGGATGCAGGCGGTGCAGAGTGAGGTGTAGTGGGGAATACAGGGGGTGCCAAATGTAGGGTAGTGGGGGATGCAGATTGAAGTGTAATGGCGGTACAGAAAGAATAGTGGGGGATGCAGTTGGTGCAGAGTGAGGTGTAAAAGGGGGATGCAGGGGGTGAAGAATATGAGGCAGTGGGGGATTCAGGGGGTGTAGAATGTGGGGCAGTAGGGGATGCTAGGGCATGTAGCCTGGTATGGTTCAGGGTGGAGCCCTACCTTTCCAGGTCAGCCAGACTACATGCCTGGATAGAAACCTGGTATGAATTTGGAGCCGACTTCCTAATCTATATCAGACCCTATCTAGATATGGAGCCTGGGTGGCCTGGAAAGGAGGAATGGAGGAGATGGCAAGCATGGTCCTACCTCCTGAAACTTACTACATGCATTACAGTACAGTTCTCAAGGACCTCGGGCAAAAAAAACAACAACGTGGGCTTTCCTTCAAAATCCATACCACACTCTTATCCAAGCATGCAGCCTCATTGACCAGGTAATGATGGGCTCTTATTGCTTGTTAAGAATATGTAAATATTTTAATATTCATCATCTGGGCTCAGGTGCACTTTAAAAGTGAACCTGTCAGAGAGGGCGTTATCTGTCATATTTTAAAACCTCATTACATTTCATATCTTCCAGAGGTGACCATTGACAGCTTCCAGCCCTGGATAGGAGCCTTGGTTTTAATACGTAACAGTCATTGTGACAGTTTCCTTTGTAAATGACAGACAAAATTGTGTGCTATGTGATAAAATAAATTTATGTAACACAATTATGTTTCAAATCAAAATAGATGGCTTTAACTCCCAGTTATACAAGATTTTAATTAAAATGTCTTCCTCATCTTTCCGAGGTCGCAATCATGCAAGATATCCAAATCCTGCTGTTTTAATGGCTGGTAATCTACTGTAATTCCTCATAATACTGTAAATATATACTTCACAAAGGGCATGCAGGCAGAGTAATATTTCCAAAGGTAATTAAGTCAAAAGCTCATGGGAATTATTTCATTTACTTAGTAACAGATTACAGCAGTAAATTGGTGTTGTATCAAAGAGAGGACTTGTCTTCATCAAACACAAAAGTGTTATTTAATTTCAGTGTCTTGGCTGTTTGGAAGTGGCTAACCATGTTGCAGATAGCTAATAACAGTGGGAACATTTTAACCATACACCCTGCATCCTCAGTGCATCTCAGTAATCCCGGGCCTTAAAAAAAAAAACACAGGCCTGGCTTTAATGAGCTCCCTTTTTGCCCCCTGCCCCTGTCACATAGACAGGCGCAGAGGCAAAGTACTTTTGTTGTGGGTTGGCAGAGCCTGATGGGGAACTCTGAGAGACAAGTTCCCCATCAAGTCCACCTGACTGATAGCAGACAGCAGTTAGCAGATTTCATAGCCTTCGCTATGGAGTCCAACCACTGCCATCTGCTTTTTTTGTCCAAGAAGAGCTGCATTCAATGGTTCTTCCAAATAAATCCAAAGGTTATTTTAATCCATGATACAGTATACACTTTCCAAAGCTCCCCAGAACAAAAGAAACTCACTCCTTACATGTTTCACCCACAGGGCTTAATCATAGGTCTGAGCAAGCCTTTTGCCAGCACCTGGAGTTTCCCCTTAATATGGATCTTACTGCGGAATCTGAGCGGTGAGTGTTGTGGATTATTTCACTGCCATTTGCTAATTCCTCATCAGGTCCACCTCCCTCGTAATTGACACTCACAAGGGAGGTGGACCCAATGGTAAATAGCCTCTCAGAAATCCATATTAGGCTCGGTCCACGGCCTTTCAGCCATGTATAACAGACAGCCTGTGAACAACCGGTGACTCACCCCCAGTCCCGTTCAGGTGCCAGATGGGATATTCACCAGCGGAAAGCTGAAAGTAAACAAAGGGTGGGGATGCTGGCTGACATTATTACCCAAATACGGCCACGGCCATATCTGGGTAATTATGTCAGTCAGCATCTCTGGCCCATTTTTTTTACATTCAGCTGCTGGCTGGGGAATCTCCAGGCTGGTAGTTGAAAGGGGTTTGGGATGCATAATTGGTTGCTAGGATGCAGGTGGCCCACTGTCCTAGCAACCAATAAACCTTGAACGGCCTTGACATAGATGACAGCTTCCAAGCACATACATGCCCCATCCTGAGTACTGGCATCTCTCTGTGTGCCAGATGAGAGTTGGCCTTAATTACGGACAGTTTCCTAATCTGTAAATAAATCATTTTTTAATTTGTCGCAGCCATAGCGCCTAATTTTTAAAATGGCGGTAATAATTACTACTTAAATCTGGTGCACATGTTGAAATGCAACTACAACTGTTGTTTTAAAGGAACCATACTGCCAGGAAAGTGTTGTACATGCTTTATTAAATTCCCCCCACTGCAGTTGATCTTATTAAACATTGGTTTAACATAGTTAGTGGCTGCTGTTAATCACATCTACAATTCAAGTGGTTTATGAATCTGGTTTTGTAAAAATAAAAGTGTGCACCGGGCTTCTTTACAGAAAGTACTGGGTGCAGGATCTTTCCTACATGGTACAATATATATGTATTACATGGATACAGTTCAGTCCCTATGCCCCCTCAGCACCTTGTCATAGTTTTTTTTTTCCATTTAAAATTTTTGTTTTATTGAACATTAGAAAAGTGAAATACATAGAGTGTGATGAAACATATAACATCTTCCAAGTGGAATGCCGCGTAACTGTCAATCAGCTAGGTTACAATACGAAACAATACAATAAGGACAGTGTTGTTGGTAAGTCCCTCTTAATACAGCAGTAGATCCATACATAGAGATTAACATGCATATTACATATGAGAACGGAATGGGTATGTTGATCGATTGGCCCTTTAGGTCGGTGATCTAAACCCAATAGGCTGTAAGTTTGGTCTATGGTAATGATAATATCATCAAGTAGACGGAGACAGGCAGTAAGACAACACAAACCTTGAGAGACGGGAGTCACAAAAAAGTATAGAGGTAGTAAAGGCAAGTTATAGAAAGCATAGAGTCCTCCATGGTAAAACCACTGAAGACTCCAGGGTAGGTCAGAGGATGGGGTGATGTGGGGGGAGGACACATAGTGTATCGTTTGGGGCACAATCCCTTGAGGCGTATTATCCTTCACCCTATAAAGGGGGTCACAGAGGGTCGGTAGGCAACATGCGTACGTTCTAGTCTTCTACACGGGTTACGCGTGAGTTCTGCATATACCTTTCCCAGGCAGAAGTGGGTCCATGGCGCCCACAATCTGGAGAATTCGGTAAGTTTGTCTTGCTTGATAAAAAAAGAGTTCTTCTATTTCAGAAATGTAATTTACCTGAGTAATCCATTCGGTGAGAGATGGGGGCCTCACATCTCTCCAACGTCTAGGTATCAGTGATCTAGCAAATGCTTGCTGAGAGATTTTTGAGGTCCCCCGCTATCTTCCTCTTGGATATGGAGTAGGTAGACACTTGGATGAAATGCAAGTTGTTCCCCCGTAATTTTAGCGATAAGATCGTGGATCCGTCTCCAATAAGGTTGGAGAATGGCACACGCCCAGAAGATGTGGAGAAGTGTACCTCGTGCCGAGGTGCACCTCCAACAGGTCTCTGCTACTGCAGGGTAAATTTTGTGGAGGAGTGATGGGGTTCTGTACCATCGTGAAAGGATTTTTAAATTGGTTTCTTGGGTCCTACAACTCACTGAGCTTTTGTGGGCCCCAAAACACGCTGTTTCCCATGTATCCTCCGGGATGCCTCGGTCTAGCTCCCTCTCCCAGGCAATTCGCAAGGTGTCGGTTCGAGCAGGAAATGAGGTGTCGAGAAGGGCCTTTGCCAGAGCACGCCTTTTCAAAGCTGGTCATGTCTCTGGCAAAGCCTCCCCGTCTTGCTGGTGAAGTGAGGTAGTGTCTCACCTAGCACCTTGTCATAGTTGTGACAACTATAACTCTGCCCCTATGGCACGGGGATTATTGTTACTACACATGAACTTCTATAAATGACTTATGTCACATTTGAAACTGGTAACA